GTAGTCCAATCTAGAGGTGACCAAGGCATGGACCACCCCGGCCAGATCAGTTCCAACAGATCTCACAACCTCTGAGGGTGATTGCCATAGATGCAGGCGAAACGTCAGGAGAGAATGCCTCTAGAACAGTGGTTCTCAACCTTCCTAATGGCGTGACCCCTTAATACAGTCCCCCATGTTGTGGTGACCCCCAACCATAATATTGTTTTCATTGCTACTTCATAACAGTCATTTTACTACTGTTATAAATCATAATGTAAATATCTGATATGCAGGATGCATTTTCATTCACTGGACCAAACTGGGCACAAATACCCAATATACCCAAATGTGAATGCTAGTGGGGTTGGGCGAGGATTGATTTTGTAATTTGGGAGTTGTAGTTGCTAGGATTTATAGTTCACTTATAATCAAAGAGCATTCCGAACTCCACCAGCGATGGATTTGAACCAAACTTGGCTCCCATGACCAATGGAAAACATTGGAAGGGTTTGATGGGCATTGACCTTGAGTTTGGGAGTTGTAGTTCACCTTTATCCAGAGAGCACTGTGGACTCATGCAATGGTGGATCTGGACCAAACTTGGCATGAATACTCAGTATGCCCAAATGTGAACACTGGTGGAGTCCGGGGAAAATAGATCTTGACATTTGGGAGTTGTAATTGCTGGGATTTATAGTTCATTACAATCAAAGAATATTCTTAACTCCACCAACGATAGAATTGGCTCAAACTTCCCATATGGAATCCCCATGACCATCAGAAAATACTGTGTTTTCTTATGGTCTTTGGCGACCCCTCTGACACCCCCTCGCAACCCCCTCAGGGGTCCCGACCCCCAGGTTGAGAAACACTGGTCTAGAACATGGCCATATAGCCCGAAAAAACCTACAACAGTGTTTCTCAACCTGGGGGTTGGGACCCCTGAGGGGGTCATGAAGGGGTCTCAGAGGAGTCGCCAAAGACAATCAGAAAACACAGTATTTTCTGATGGTCATGGGGATTCCATGTGGGAAGTTTAAGCCAATTATATCATTGGTGGAGTTCAGAATGTTCTTTGATTGTAATGAACTATAAATCCCAGCAACTACAACTCCCAAAAGTCAAGGTCTATTTTCCCCAGGCTCCACCAGTGTTTACATTTGCGCATATGGAGTATTTGTGCCAAGTTTGGTCCAGATCCACCATTGCATGAGTCCACAGTGCTCTCTGGATATAGGTGAACTACAACTCCCAAACTCAAGGTCAATACCCACCACACCCTTCCAGTGTTTTCCGTTGGTCATGGGAGTTCTGTGTGGCAAATTAGGTTCAAATCCATTGCTGGTGGAGCTCAGAATGCTCTTTGATTATAGGTGAACTATTTGTTGTTCATTCGTTCAGTCGTCTCCGACTCTTCGTGACCTCATGGACCAGCCCACACCAGAGCTCCCTGTCGGCCTGTCACCACCCCCAGCTCCTTCAAGGTCAGTCCAGTCACTTCAAGGATGCCATCCATCCATCTTGCCCTTGGTCGGCCCCTCTTCCTTTTGCCTTCCACTTTCCCCAGCATAATTGTCTTCTCTAGGCTTTCCTGTCTCCTCATGATTTGGCCAAAGTACTTCAACTTTGTCTCTAGTATCTTTCCCTCCAGTGAGCAGTCGGGCTTTATTTCCTGGAGGGTGGACTGGTTGGATCTTCTCGCAGTCCAAGGCACTCTCAGAACTTTCCTCCAACACCACAGCTCAAAAGCATCGATCTTCCTTCGCTCAGCCTTCCCTAAGGTCCAGCTCTCACATCCGTAGCTTACTACAGGGAATACCATGGCTTTGACTAGGCGGATCTTTGTTGCCAGTCTGATGTCTCTACTCTTTACTCTTTACTCTTCACCTCTTTATAGGTGAACTATAAATCCCAGCAACTACAACCAGGGGCGGCTTGTCCATTACGCGAAGTAAGCGGTCGCAGAACACTTTTTTTTGCCAGGGGCGCAGAGGCGCCTCTGTAAATGCCCCTTGACCGCCACTTGAGGAGCGCCCCCTCAGCTCACAACAGCCCTAGCAGTCCGGGGGGAGCCTCGGAATTCTTGCCTCGCTGCCGGGCGATCCTCTTCCCAAAGGGGCCAGGCCCTTGAGTCTCACCTAGCCCCTCTCGTTTCTGCTCCACCCGGCCACCGGGTGCACAAGCAGAGCCGGCACTCAATCGTTCTTTGCATTTGATCTCTTCCCCATGACTGGCTTCCTTTCCTGATCCCCTGGCGCTCTACCAGCCTCCTCTCATCTCCCCAATCTGCGGGTGGGTCAAGGGGTGGAGCCGCCGTGCCTGGCCCGCTTCGGGTCCGGAGGCGTGTCTGAAGACCCCAGCGTGCGCACCAAAAGTCGCCTCTTCTCCTGACTTTCTCTTCAGCCATTGGGACCAAGAGAGAGAGAGAGAGAGAGAGAGAGCCCCTCCGGCTGGAGGTATCTCCCACCTCCGCTCCCTCCTTTGTTTTTGCGCCTACCTTCAGGAAAGGTGGGCATCTCCACCTCTCTCTCTCTCTCTCTCTTGGTCCCAATGGCTGAGGAGAAAGTCAGGAGAAGAGGTGACTTTTGGTGCACACGCCGGGGTCTTCAGGCACGCCTCCGGACCCAAAGCGGGCCAGGCAAGGGAGCAAGTGCGGCAAGTGTAGTTACTGGGATGTATAGTTCACCTACAATCAAAGAGCATTCTGAACTCCACCAATGATGGAATTGAACCAAATATGGCACACAGAACTCCCACGATGAACAGAAAATATATATCAATTATTGGATATGGGGGGGGGGGGCAAAATACTGTTAGCCTTATTTATTTTATTATTTATTTGATGCACTTGTTAACCGCCATTCTCAGCCCTTACGGGCGACTCATGGCGGTGTACAATACACATAAAAAGACAGTTACAGAGGCCAATATCAACAACATATAACTATACAACAATACAAACTACATAAAAATCCGCTTCGTCTCTTAGTAGAATCATAGCCAGTCTCATCTTCCTTATACCGTTCCAGTTCTCATTGCCGTAATGTTATTACTTAGCACTTAATTAAATGCCCTCTCGAAAAGCCAGGTCTTAAGGCTTTTTCGAAAGGACATGAGGGAGGGCGCCTGTCTGATGTGTGCCGGGAGAGTGTTCCACAGCCGAGGGGCCACCACCGAAAAGGCCCTCTCTCTCGTCCCCGCCAGCCGTGCCTGTGATGCAGGCGGGATCGAGAGAAGGGCCTCCCCAGACGATCTCAAGGTCCTCGTGGGCTCGTAGGCCAAGATGCGGTCGGAAAGGTATTTTGGGCCGGAACCGTTTAGGGCTTTGTAGGCCAAGACCAGCACCTTGAATTGGGTCCGGTAGCAAATCGGCAGCCAGTGGAGCTGGGACAACAAGGGCGTTGTGTGCTCCCTGCTACCCGCTCCTGCTACCTGCTGTTTGCTTACCGTTGAAAATTATCTAGGGCCGCCTCTGACTACAACTCCCAAATGACAAAATCAATCCTCCCCCAACCCCACTAGGATTTACACGTGGGTGCATTAGGTATTTGTGCCCAGTTTGGTCCAGTGAATGAAAATACATCTTGCATATCTGATATTTACATTATGATTTATAACAGTAGTAAAATGACTCTTATGAAGTAGCAACAAAAACAATGTTATGATTGAGGGTCACCACAACATGAGGAACTGTATTAAGGGGTCACAGCATTAGGAAGGTTGAGAAACACTGACCTACAACAACCCAATCCTTTTTTGTGTTTGGTCCAGTCCAGGAATGCACAGGCGGAGGCGTTCTCCCTTGCGGCCTGCAGGGGGCGCCGACGTTCCACCTCGCGGCCTGGGCCCCGCCTCCTCCGCGCGCCTACCTCCTCGCGCTCTGTCTCTCTCTCTGAGGGAGCCGCAGGCGGAGGAGGAGGCGGCGGCAGCGGCGAGGAGTGGCTTTCCCTCGGCCGGGTCCCTCGCTAGGACTCCCTTCCCTTCCCTGCCCTTCCCGAGAGGAAGGCGCTGCCTCAGCCGGGAATGGCGGCGCCCGAGCGACGGGCCTTCGCGCACCGCATTAACCGGTGAGAGACAGCTGAAGGAGGGTAGGAAGCGGGAGGGCAAATTCGCCTCATGAGAGATGGCTCCTGCCTCTCTTCTTCCTCGAGGCGGCCTTTCCTCCTTTTCCTCCTCCTCCTCCTCCTCCTCCTCCGAAGCCAATACACAGACAGCCCAGGCCATGGAGAACTACTCTCCCCCCAGAATGGTTTCTTGCCATCTCAGACCTTGTAACCAGAGAGCATCCTGAGAGGGAGGGCGGGGGAGGGAAAGAAAGGCCAATATCCTCCTATTCTCTGCTCCAGGGAAGCCAATATGTTGGTTGTTGTTTTTACTATGTGTCAATGTTGTTTCTTTTATTATATGTTTTGTTTATTTTGTTATATTGTGTGTTATTATATATTATGATATTATACTAGCTGTCCCCGCCACGCATTGCTGTGGCCCAGTCTGTATATATGTGTTTTGTGTGTGTATGTATATATGTGTGTATATGGAATATTGATCTTGAAGGAGCTGGGGGTGGTGACGGCCGACAGGGAGCTCTGGCGTGGGCTGGTCCATGAGGTCACGAAGAGTCGGAGACGACTGTACGAATGAACAACAACAACAAATGGAATATTGTGCCCAATTCTGGAATATTGGCTCGAGAGCAATACGTGTGAAAAAGATATTGGAGTCCTCGTGGACAACTAGTTAAACATGAGCCAACAATGTGATGTGGGCAAAAAAAGCCAATGGGATTTTGGCCTGCATCAATAGGAGTCTAGTGTCTAGATCCAGGGAAGTCATTGTGCCCCTCTATTCTGCCTTGGTTAGACCACACCTGGAATATTGTGTCCAATTCTGGGCACCACAATTGAAGAGAGATATTGACAAGATGGAATGTGTCCAGAGGAGGGCGACTAAAATGATCAAGGGTCTGGAGAACAAGCCCTATGAGGAGCGGCTTAAGGAGCTGGGCATGTTTAACCTGAAGAAGAGAAGGCTGAGAGGAGATATGATAGCCATGTATAAATATGTGAGAGGAAGCCACAGGGAGGAGGGAGCAAGCTTGTTTTCTGCTTCCCTGGAGACTAGGACGGAAGCAATGGCTTCAAACTACAAGAAAGGAGATTCCATCTGAACATGAGGAAGAACTTCCTGACTGTGAGAGCCATTCACCAGTGGAACTCTCTGTGGTGGAGGCTCCTTCTTTGGAAGCTTTTAAATAGGGGCTGGATGGCCATCTGTCAGGGGTGATTTGAAAGCAATACTCCTGCTTCTTGGCAGGGGGTTGGACTGGATGGCCCATGAGGTCTCTTCCAACTCTTTGATTCTATGATTCTATGATTCTATGTGTGTTGTTTATATATTTGTGCAGGACCCCCCGGTGGCGCAGTGGGTTAAACCCCTGTGCCGGCAGGACTGAAGACTGACAGGTCACAGGTTTGAATCCCGGGAGAGGGGGATGAGCTCCCTATATCAGCTCCAGCTCCTCATGCGGGGACATGAGAGAAGCCTCCCACAAGGATGATAAAACATCAAAATCATCCGGGCGTCCCCTGGGCGGCCAATTCTCTCATACCAGAAGCGACTTGCAGTTTCTCAGGTCACTCCTGACACGACATAGATAGATAGATAGATAGATAGATAGATAGATAGATAGATAGATAGATAGACACACACACACACACACACACACACTAGCCGTCCCCTGCCACGCATTGCTGTGGCCCAGCCTAGTGAGCTGGAAAATAAAGTAATGAGAAAGTGTTGGTTTCTGATATATGTAATTTCTTGATGCTTGTGGGTAAACAGTATTTCTTGTTGTTTCTTTGTCAGTATTGATGTGGAGAGTGTCTGGTTTGTCTACTCTGGAACATTTATTATTATTTATTTAAAACACTTATATTCCACACTTCTCACCCTGAAGGAGACTCAGAGCGGAGCACAACATATACATGGCAAACATTCAATGCCTGGGTACAATACATAAACATTAAAAAACATTTATCTAAATATTAAAATAACACAATTTAAAACCGTCCTAGCCAACACGCAGCATACCCTTTCAAATCTATGATACTGTGTGTGGGTGTATCATATCTATCTATCTATATCTATGCATTAAGATCACAGCTGATGAAAAGGTCATGAGTTTGAAGCCAGCCCTGGTGGGAGTGAGCTTCTGACCAATTTGTGTAGCATGCTGTCAACCTTTGCAGCTTGAAAGACTGTGATAATAATGATAATAAACTTTATTTATACCCCGCTACCATCTCCCCGATGAGGAATCAGAGCAGCTTACATGAGGCCAAACCCAAACAACAAAATACAATAAAATACAACCGAAAACGCAGACAAAGCACAACATCATAATTACATAAACATATAAATACATAACGATATAAAATTACAATAACACAATCACAATAACAGTGGGCGGGCTACATGTAATAATTAAAAGAGAGACTCAATTAAATTGGTTAAAAACTCGGGCGAGATAAAGGAGAAAACAAAATTGTTTGCAGAGGAGGACTCATTATAGCAGGGATTGTGGAATCAACTTTCCCATAGTGGGGAGGGGGATGTGTACTCCAATGAGGTTAAGGCTAATAAATCATGCAGGATTGAATACCTACTCGCCAAAGTTGCGTCTGTCAAGTAAGAAATTTAGGTACCGCATATGTGGGGAGGCTAATGTGACTAATTTATGTCACCATAGAAATCTTCAGCAAGCATGCAAAGAATGAGGAAGTACTTCATCAGTGTCTCAAATGGACGGTGAAGTGACAGCCAGAATACCCTCATGAAAGCTGGAAAGTTAAATAGGCTCTGTGTGTCTGTCTGTATCTGTTGTGTGTCTATGGCATTGAATGTTTGCCAAGTATATGTACACTGTAATCTGCCCTGAGTCCTCTGCGGGGTGAGAAGGGCGGAATATAAATACTGCAAATAAATAAATAAATAAATAAATGTGTATATATTTGTGTATATGTTTATATATGTGGTTTTGCGCATGCATTGTAATGCAATTTTTATTTTTTGGCTTTTTAAATCTCTTCTGCTATTTTTCAGGGTTTTTATGAGTGATGGTCATTTGTTGGCCTTATGCATATATTGTGTCCAAATTTGGTGTCAATTCACCTAGTGGTTTTTGAGTTATGTTAATCCCACAAACAAACATTACATTTTTATTTATACAGATGCTATTATATTATGTTATATGTTATGTTATTATAGAATGTTAGAGTTGGAAGAGGCCACATGGACCATCTAGTCCAATAATAATAATAATAATCATCATCATCATTTTTATTTATGCCCCACATCCATCTCCCCAAAGGAGAAAATGTTTCTATCATTCACTTTAGTTCCCTCCTCCTCCAATTCTCACAGGGACAGAAAGTGAGGTGAAATCTGAACAGAGGCACAGACAGCAAAACAAACACTGCAGGGGTGTTAATCCTTCCCTATGCTATCCATAGCTCTCTCTCTCTGTGTGTATAGCTCGAGTTACACTTAAAAATGTACCTGTTCTGACTTACATATGAATTCAACTTAAGAACAAACCTACAGAACTTATCTTGTCCGTAACTGGGAGACTGTCTGAGTTTTAAAGGTCATTTTAATGTATTTGATGTATTTTAACTAGATGGCACATATGGTCTCTTCCAACTCTTTCATTCTATGATTGAATAATATAATAAAATATAATGTAATAGTAGCATATAATATACTATATAATAGCACACAATAAAACAACATAACAAACCCAATAACATATAATAAAATAAACATTGTCATATAGTAAAACAACAACAACAAACATATTGGCTTCCCTGGACCAAGGAATAGAAGGATATTGGCCTTTCTTTTTCTCCCCCGCCCTTCCTCTCAGGATGCTCTCTGGAGGAATTTAGTGAAATAAAATCATCATGGTTCCATTGTATACAATTAGAACAATTGTTTAAGAATTGGTTAAAAATAATAGAAATGGAAATAAACTCACGAATAGTACAGAATGGAAGAGTTATAGAAGAACATAAAAATTTGAAAGGAATAACTAGTAAAACGTATAAGATAATAGTTGAAATTAAAGAGGAAAAAACAAAGAACAATATTCTCAAGAAGATATGGGAAGAAAATTTAAGGATTAAAATACGTGATATGGAATTGTCACAACTGTGGGAACAAAGACATTTTAAAATATTATCAATATGTGTTAAAGAAAACTATTACAAATTAATACGGAAAGGGTATTTAACACCAATAAAAATAGCTAATATTAACAAAAATTATTTGAAAAACTGCTGGAGGGGATGTCAAGAAGTGGGAACATACGCATATGTGGTGGCAATGTAAATATGTAGGTAAATTTTGGGGGAAAGTATTTAGAGAAATAGAAGATATTATGAAGATATAATTGGAAAGAAGTCCTAGTATTGCTTTATTATCATTGTATAGTGTAATACTAAACAGTTGAAAAAGATGGAAAAGGTGCAGTTTCCAGCCTATTAACTGAAGCAAGATTACTTATAGCAAGACATTGGAAAAGGGAAATAAACATACAATTTGAAGAATTGTATAAGGAATTATGGAAATTGGCAATAAATAATAAGTTGACATGCAATTTAAAAGTTAAAAGAGCAATATGAAAAATGTGGCTTGTTGTGGAAATAAAGAATGGCGCTGAAGCTTCAGTGGGGACACATTTTCCCCATGATAATAATTCTTCCATGAGTTAATTTCCCTTCCAAGGGGTAGATTTCTCACACTTCCTGTTATCTTACCTCTGTTCTTAACTATGAGTCGTTTGTAATTCGAGGACTGCCTATATATCATATCATATCTTATTATCTCTTTTCATTTTATTATTTTTGTATTTTATGTTATATTATTATATCTTATTTTATTATTATATTATATTATATTATATTATATGCTGCTGTTATATTTTATTATTACTATTTTGATATGGGCTCCCCAGGTATGTAGTTGCTTAAAAGACTGATTTCTCCTCATTCATCCGAGATAAAGTCCT